GGCTGCCTCATGGAGGTGGACATTTTATACGTATGCTGATATATTTATGAAATCTGGAATAACTGGTAAATATAAAAAAAAACTGCAGATGTTAGAAATCTGATACAAAAACAGAAATTGCTGTAGAAACTCAACAGGTCTTGCAACATCTGTAGAGAGAGAAACAGAGTTAATGTTCCGAGTACAATGACCCTTCTTCAGAGCTGAGGAGATAGTTCAATGAGGCAGGAGCATACAGAAACAATGAGTGTGCCTGAGCAGTGCTGTTTGTGGATTTTGGGAAGGAGGTAGAAGTGGGCTGTGCAGGGTTGGGGGACTATGAGCTTGGAAGCAATGAGGAGGAGATCACCAGATCACCAGATAAGTGACCAATGTGGATACAATGAGCTGATGTTGTGAAGGAGGGTTGCTGGACTCAAAATTTTAACTATGCTTTCTCTCTCTGCAAATGCTGCCAGAGCTGCTGAGTTTCTCCAGCAATACATGGTAATAATTATACCACATACCTCGGATGGGTCATGAATGATGGACATCTCGAGTCTCAAATGGGGACCCAAAATAAATCACAGTCACCTGCTTCTGGAATTCATTCATTGAATAGCTTTGAGATTAAAAGAAATGTATTCTTTCAATTTCAGTAGTTAGATGTTATATTGTAGGTTTGATACATTTTTATTGAATTGATTGATTTTTGGTTTTAGCAAAGGTAACTTGGCCATTCAGAATGATAAAAAGAAAAAATGGTGGTCTGGTAGCATCTGTGGAGGAAGCTATGTCTCCTTAAACCTGTGCTATTTTCTCCAAGTTAGAGGTGTGGTTATGGATGCCCTGCATGGTTCCCAGCTATGCCTATCTCTTTGTAGGGTGTGTACAGCTTTCTTTGTTCCAGCCCTGCTCAGGCATCATCCCACAATCTTTCTCCAGTATGTTGGTAGCACTATTGGTGCTATTTCCTACTCTTGTCAAGAACTAGAAAGTATCATTCATTTTACTTCCAGTTTCCATCATTCTCTCACCTTCACCTGGTCCATCCCTTCTTTGACTTCTCTGTTTCAAATTCTGAGGATTGGCTGTCCGTCAATATCCATCACAAATTCAATAGCACACACAGTTACCTGAACTACACTTCCCTCTCTCTGCTTTGTCTAAGGAGAATCTACCAAGTCATTTTGCCAGTTTTCCATCTCTGTGACATTTATTCCAATTATCCCACCTTCTATAGGTCTGTCTATATGTCCTCCTTTTCCTCAAACAAGGATTTCTCCCACTATAGTTGAAAGGTACCTCAGCTGTGTCCAACCCACTTCTGCTCTCACTCCTTCCCTTCTCTCTCAGAACAATAAGGTTATATTTGTCCTCATTTTCAACTCCACCAGTCTCAGCATACAAAGGATCATTCTCCACCATTACCGCCACCTCCAGTAAGAAGCTACAAACAAACAAATTTTCACCTCCCTTTCCTTTCCAGTATTCCTCTGGGATTGTTCCCTTTGTGACACCTTAACCAATCCTCTGTCACTCAAACACTTCATCGCCCAACATGGCAGCATCCCATGCAATTTCAGAAGGAGTAACATTCAGAGTCATAGAGTCATATAGTTATACCGCATGGAAACAGACCCTTTGGTCCAAATCGTCCATGCTGACCAGATATCCTAAACTGATCGAGTCCAATTTGCCAGCATTTGGCCCATATCCCTCTGAACCCTTTCTATTCAAGACTCATCCAGATCACTTTTAAATGTTGTAATTGTACTGCCTCCACTGCTTCCTCTGGCAGCTTGATCCATACACACACCACCCTCTCTGTGAAAAAGTTGCCTTTCAAATTTCTTTTAAATCTTTCTCCTCTTACCTTAAACCTATGCCTTGTTTTGGACTCCCCTACTCTGGGAGAAAGAACTGGACTGTTCATCCTATCCATGCCTTTCAACCTCCAGCACTCCAATTTAAAAAAAATGCCAGCCTATTCAGCCTCTCCCTATAGGTCAAACACTCCAACCCCAGCAAAGTCCATGTAAATCTTTTCTGAACACTTTCAGTTTAACAATATCTTTCCCATAGAAGGGAGATCAGAATCAAATGCAGCATTCTAAAAGTAGCCTCAGCAATGTCCTGCACAGCCGCAACATGATGTCCCAACTCCTATCCTCAATACACTGACCAATGAAGGCATGCATGCCAAGCACCTTCTTCCTCACCCTGTCTAACTGTGATTCCACTTTCAAGGAACAATGCACCTACACTCCTAGGTCTCTTTTGCCCTACTATTAACTGTATAAGTCTTGCCCTTGTTTGCCTTACCAAAATGTAACACTCCACCTGCCATTCCTTGGCTCGTTGGACCATCTGATCAATATCCCGTTTTAGTCTGAGATAATCTTCTTCACTGTCCACTACAGCACCAATTTTGGTGTTGTCTGCAAACTTACTAACTACACCTCATAATGACAAAAAGCAGTGGACCCAGCACTGATCCTTGCAGCACACCACTGGTCACAGGCCTTCAGTACAAAAACCAACCCTCTACCACCACCCTCTGTCTCCTACCTTCATGCCAATTTTGTATTCAGTCAGCCAGCTCCCTATGGATTCCATGTGATCTAACCTTGATAACCAATCTACCATGCAGAACCTTGTTGAACATCTTGCTGAAGTCCATATAGACAACGTCTACCACCTTGCATTCAACAATATTCCTTGTTACCTCTTCAAAAACCTCAATCAAGTTACTTGCTATTTTACGACTTGCCTCCTCACTGTCCAGAACCCCAGTCTAGTCTAGCCTACCATTTTCACAGTGCAGACTTCTCTACATTGTCAAGATCAAATACAAACTGGGTACCTGCCATGCAGAACATCCCTGCCCTCTCTGTAAGAATGACATTGAGTTGCTTGCCATTTTAATGAATACTCCTCCCATGCTAACATTTTCATTCTTCTTGAAGTGTTCCAGTAAAGTCCAATGCAAACTGAAGGAACAGCACCTTATTTTTCACCAGGTGTTACAGCCTTCAGCATTGTGTTCAACAACTTCAGAGCATGAATACTTTCTTCTGTTATGATTACTGTCATCCCCAGTGTCTTCTTTATAAGGGTTTACTCTCAGCAAAACAAATCTATTTTTGACTATTTTCACAGCTATCATTAACACCCACTCTGCATAGCAATCACTCCTTCACTACCATTAGAGATAGTAAGAACTGCCGATGCTGGAATCTGAGATAACACAGTATGGAGCTGGAGTAACACAGTGGGCCAGGCAGCATCAGAGCAGCAGGAAAGCTGACTTTTCAGGTCCAGACCCTTCTTCGGAAATGGAGAAGTTCTGAAGAAAGGTCAGCTTTCCTGCTCCTCTGATGCTGCCTGGCCCGCTACTCACTACCATTAGCCATAACTTTGTCTTTTGCTCCAGGCACCCTTACTATTTGTTCCACTCACTCTGGTCAACAACATAACAACCAACATTTTGCAAACTTCTTCAGTTCTGAAGACGAGTCATTGACTTTGAAACATTCACTCTGTTTCTTTCCAAAAATGCTGCCAGATCTATTGAGTTTCTCCAGCATTCTTTGTTGTTATAATCTGTGTGCATTGCTTAAAAGTAGAATGGAAATATGTTCAATAGCAACTTTCAAAAGGTAATTATAGAAATCAGATGAATGCTCAAAACCAAAAAAAAATTCTGCAGGACATTAGGGAAGAGAAAGGGAGTGGAACAAGTTGGATAGCTTTTTTAATGAGACAGCAGAAACTTGGTGGCACAAATGGCCTTCTTCTATGCATTTGGCCACAAATATAAGTGACACTGTTCAGAAACAATTCCATTTGCAGCAACTGAACACATTTTGCATCAAGCTGTAATGTTAGAAACAATTCTCATTTTCCTGAACCAGTATGCATTCGCTTACAGAAACAGATTGGAATTAATGGTGTTAGGTTTCTTCTTGTTGATATGTGTGGGAGTAACACTGGAGCATTGTCACAGCTAAACACCATTGAATACTTATTACCCATGACATGGTTTTGATGGGGAAATTATAACAAAAAGCCAGCAGCAGCAGCAATCAGCCCTGCAAAGCAGCAGTATATAATAAAGCAACAACCCTGCCAAACAAATACCAATCAGCATTGCAGTCAACGTCTAAAAATGTTAAACAATATTCTTTACAATAAACACTTCAAGTGATTAGAGGAGCCTGCATTAGCAGTACTCTCACCTACAGTAGATTGACATAGAAGCTAACGTTCAGTATATTAAGAATTTCTATTTACAGTTAAACTTATTCTGAAACCCCTTCTCAACATTTAGCCTTTCCCTTGCCAATTAGGTGATGCTTCTCCAACACATGGTTTTTGATATGTCTCCCTCTTATATTCTCTCTTCTTTCTTAATATTGGTTTAGACAATGCCCTGCTGTTGTTTACACTTCTGTCTTTATGAAGTTGGAAGCAAGGCTTGCCCCCGGCTTTTCTTTCCTGCATATAGCTTCACTGGATTAAAAGTAATTTTTATTTCAGCGTTGCATTATTTAACTCATACATTTGCAGCAACACTCGAAATAAATGCTCCTGTATGCCTATAATTCGAAAGTTTTAAAACCCAATCTCTCCTGATCCTTCAGATGAGCTGTTAAATCATTACATAGGAGATTCCTCTTGTGTGTCCTGGCCAATATTCATCTCTCAACCAACATCACTAAAAACAGATTATCACAGTATTGGTTGGAAGAAAGGCTGCTGTATTACAACAGCAAATACCCATCAGAAAGTATAGTGTTGTGGGACATTCTGTGGTTACATAAATGCTTTCTTTTTTCACCTCAACATTCTGCACCATATTTTAGCTCTCTTCTTATAATTTTAATCTCATTAATGTGCTACATAGCTGATTTTGCCCTTTTGCCTTGGTTTCTAAGTCAACACAACCAGTCCAACATAATAGGTGTTGTAACAGATGCTTTAAAGGTCGATTTTTGGCATAAAGCATACAGCTGAGATTATTTGCAAAGTGATTTATTCCTTTTGGCATTGACCATAAGATTTAATTAACCAAGGTACAGTCAAAAGCTGAACAAAAACACGGGGAGAAAATGGTACAGTAATGTAATGGAATAGACGCACGCACTGAATGTCATTTTTATATCTGTTAAACAACTTTCTTGATTATGAACAGCCAGGAATTTTACAAGGTGATGAAGTTGGACATCTGAATTCCACAAATTCTGACGGTTTCCTTTATTTATTCTTTGATGAGCGTGGCACTGACATGACTGAATTTATCACCCATGCTTAAATTTCCAACGGTTTAAGACTGGGGTTTGTAACCTAATGTACGTTACTGCTCCCTTTTTTGGCTCCGATTTATTCCGAGTATCAACAACTCAAAACTCCAAAAAGTACTGTTTTCTCATAATACATCTATTGAGCAACAAAAATAAAGTTATACTCAATCAGATTTATACTCCAAATTTGCAAGTCTTCCTGGGCTTGTCAAAGAATTAGAAAGTATGGAGTGATCCATTTTTTTAAAAAATAGCTGATCAGCCTACTTTGTCCCGAGCTAGTTAGCTATCAAGTGAGGCCACAGTTCTTTATTCCCTGCTCAATGTTTGTTAACCACATGATCATCTCCAGATAAACTGAACTGCCATCTTAAAGCTCAGTGATTGGCCAGTTATCTCTTTACAGTCCCAACAATTTTTTTAAACTATTAACGTAGCTGGGTCTTCTTCTCCAGGCTTCACATGTCAAGCAAGACAATAATCACACCTCCTCCAAATTACTGGTTTCCAAGCAACCAGTCCACATGGTGTTTTCATCACAAATGCAAATTTAACCTTTCATATGAAATATTATCTTGCAGGTTTTTGTCCGTTCAGTTCCTTTAACAAAGCACAGTTACATCACATTAATCACATTACAGGCTTGGAATTATGATAGCTCAAGCTTAAGAATTAAAGCTCATCTCTAGTCCTTAAAAGTTATTAAAATCAATTGAACACAATATGACAGATTCAGTAAATTCCTCCTAACAACCCCCCAGTCCCAGACACTTGTATCTTTGTCTCAGTTATTTGTTATTTATGTATGTTACTCCTCACCTCAGCAGTCATTTCATTCACTGGGCAATGGGAATCATTTACAGGTTATATGTGAACCAAAGCTGATTGGAGTGTCAGATGACCCTACTCTGAATAAAGGAATAATTTACTTTAGAGGCATTCAAGAAGACATTGAATGGATAGTAATGGTGTGCAGGGATGTGGGGGAAAGGCAGGAGATTGGCACAAGATATGCTGCTGGTGAATGCAGGATGGGCCGAATGGCCTCCTTCTGTACCATAATAATTCTGTGATTATGGAGCATCTTTTATAGCCTCAAATGGCCTTTGCATCCAATGAAGTACTCCTAAAGATATAGTGTGAGAAACATAATGACCAATATGCACACAGCAAGGTCCCACAAACGGCAAATAAAGTCGTTTGTTTTTACTGTTGCTGGTTGAAGAATGGATGCTTCCAAGGACATGGGGAAGCACTCCCCTAGTTTTCTTCAAAAAGGATACTTTGAAACTCATCATTTAACATTTCATTTGTGATTCCCACTGTCTTTAAAAGTGCAATTAGGGAGAACATCAGTCTGAATGTTGTGCCTTAAATCTCTGGAGCAGGTCTTGAACCTACAGATTTTTGACTTCAGAGCAAGCAAGCATGTTGCTACCTCAGGCACCGGTGACATTGCTCCTTGCTATGAGCAGGCATCATGCTCATTGGCTAGCAGCTGCTATCGTAAATTCCACAACTGGGTATCATAAGATCCAAACTCATGACCTCTGGGTATTTAGTCTAGGGACGCAGCTGTTAGACCGCAGTATTTATTTCAAACCATCCTGTTATAGCTTACTGGGGTAGTGCATTGGAAATCAAGCCCTACTCTTCCTGGAGTTGTCACAATAGTTAACGATTTTTAAGAAGTATGCAGATTCTCTAATTTGCCTGTTTCCTAGTTCCAGACTGAAGGAGAGCACAAGCCAGATTGCTGTATCATAAAAAGTACTACACATCACAGGTAAATAGACTTTAGATATAGATAAACTGTTATGTACCGTCAGTGTTTAACACTACTAATTAAAACTCTAAACCACACACATGCACACACGATGCTTATGCGTCCTGTGATGATCAGAATGTTGTTTCTCAGCGTTTCTTTTCTGACGCTTCCATTTGTTTGTAAGAGTCATAGGGTGGCTGGTTCACTTTCAAAAAGGTCCCTGACTTAGAACGTAGAACATAACAGCGTAGTACAGGCCCTTCGGCCCTCGATGTTGCGCCGACCTGTGAAACCAATCTGAAGCCCATCTAACCTACACTATTCCATTATCATCCATATGTTTATCCAATGACCATTTAAATGCCCTTAAAGTTGGCGAGTCTACTATTGTTGCAGGCAGGGCATTCCACGCCCTTACTACTCTGAGTAAAAAGCCTACCTCTGACATCTGTCCTATATCTATCACCCCTCAATTTAAAGCTATGGCCCCTCGTGCTAGCCATCACAATCATTAAAAGTTTCTGCTCATAGTAATTGCTGAAGGAAAAGATAAACTGGTTTTCTTCATACTCATGATGGCTTTTATTGCAGAGTAGAGAGAAAGGGCTCCTAGGATGCTGCTGGTCAGAAAGCTTCTCTCTATTTTGTTCACAGCATCAGGTTGTTTAGCTGCCCGAGGACCAATCAAGTAATTGTTGGCATGCAGAAAGCGTTTGATATTAGTATTTGGTCACTGGTCTACAAATCAATCTATTAGTTGCTGCCAACCAAAGCTCCACTTGTACACAAACCTTCGCCTCCAATTCATCTGTAAACTTCTGTCACTACTGCTAAAACAAACAGCTGTGTCAACTGTATTTACAATAAGCAACAAGTTGCTTGCTTTAAAAAAATACGCAGTTGAAATAAGTCCACAGAGGCCGGTATCCCATCACCAAGTCACCCTTTATTTACACATGAAGAGTCCTTGACACTGATCCAGCTCTCAGAGTGAACAGGATGTTTGACACACCTGTTTATATCCGTCAGCCAGGGCTTCCTGATTGGACCAAATTAACAGCCCCAATCAGGGAACTCATATTCTGAGGTCCAGCTGGCTGTCATTCTGATGATCACTACATCAGTAACCCTAGTTTTAAAACAGTACTTGCCTCATTTCAGTCCAGAATTTTAAAATAACATTTAAAAAAAAAGTCTTTACAAATCAATAAATTAGAAACTAGCCATATTAGGCCAGTGAAGAATATAATTTCTACTTCACTAATTTTCACAGCTCTGCATATCACAAGGTAGGTGTATTCAAATAGTTTTTTTTAATGGTTTTTCAGTCTTGTCTCACATTGCTAAAATCATTGATTTACTTAGCAATCGGTCTTCTGTCAGCGACAGCAACCATGAATTATAACAATGATCTTTTATTTACTACCTTTCACAAAGGTGACACATAAAACAATAACAAACAGCAGCTGAAATAAAAATCCATTCTCTCTCATTCAGTAAGATCATAACTGAATGTCACTCCAATTCACTTTCCCACGCTATCCCCATTGAACAGCCCAGGTTACTTCACAAGGGCAGATAAAAGTGGATGCAAGTTATAGAGGATGTAGTTGTGGGGTGTGCCCTAGTGTTAGTCAATCAGGTTGGTTTTCAAGCAGGAAAATTGTGGAGATATGGCTGAGGTTTCGGGAGAAAATTCCAGAGCTTGATCTAGATAGTTGGAGACAGACCTTGTAATGGTGGGGTAGAGGGAGGGGAATATATAAAACGCTGTAACAAAAACAGAAGTTGCTGGAAAAGCTCAGCAGGTCTGGCAGCACCTGTGAATAAAAATTCAGAGTTAACGTTTCGGGTCCGGTGACCCTTCCTCAGAAGTAATGGCAGCTAGGAAAATGTCAGTTTACATGCAGAAGATAGGGTGGAGGGTGGAGCCCAAAAGAGAGAGAAGAACATTGGACAGACAAAGGAATGGATAACAGTCTGGCTGGGAGGGTGAATAGGTGTTAATGGAGACTATTATTGACTGACAACAGTGGGTGTGTAATGGCAGGCTTTGTGATAACAAGGCCTGGTGTGTGGGGTAGGGGACTAGGACATGGGAGAGTTTAGGCCCTAAAATTCTTGAACTCAATATTGAGTCCAGAGGGCTGCAGGGTCCCCATGCAGAAAATGGGGTGTTGTTCTTCCAATTTGCGCTGAGCTTCGCTGGAACACTGCAGCAAGCCTGAGGCAGAGATTTTGGCCAGGGAGCAGGGTGGTGCATTAAAGTGGCAGGCAAATGGAAGTTCAGGGTCTTTTTTGGTAGTACAATTTAGATGTTCTGTAAAGCAGTCACTCAGTCTATGCTTTGTTTCCCCACTGTAGAGGAGACCATGTTGTGAGCAGCGATTGTAGTAGACTAGATTCTGGGAAGTGCAGGTAAAGTGTTGCTTCACCTGGAAGGTATGTTTGGGCCCTTGGATACTGAGAAGGGAGGAGGTAAATGGGCAGGTGTTACACCTTCGCCGGTTACAGGGGAAGATGCCATTGAGCTGTGGGGGGTGTTGGGAGTGAAGGAAGAGTGGACCAGGGTGTCCTGGAGGGAACAGTCCCTGCTGAAGGCAGATAAAAGGAGGGGAGGGGAATGTGTCTGGTGGTGGTGTCTTGCTGGAGGTGGCAGAAATGGCAGTTAATGATCCTCTCAATGTGGATGCTGGTGGGATGGTAGGTGAAGACGAGGGGAAAACTATTACTGCTGTGGGAGGGAAGAGAGGAGATGAGGGCCAAAGTGCAGGAGATGGTTTGTTCACGGCTTTGGGCCCTGTCAACCGCGGTACTGGGGAATCCTTGGTTGAGGAAGAAGGTGGACATTTTGGAGGCTCCCTTGTCAAAATTGGTCTCATCTGAACACATGCGACGGAGACAGAGGAACTGAGAGAATGGGACGGAGTCTTTACAGGAAGCACGGTTCAAGGATGTACAGTCAGGTAACTGTGGGAGTCAGTGGGTTTATAATGGATATTAGTGGCCAGTCTATCCCAGTAATGGAAACAGAGATGTCAAACAAGGGAAGGGAGGAGTCAGAGATAGACCAGGTGAAAATGAGGGCAGGACTGAAACTGGAAGGGAAATCGATGAACTTTTGCAATTCCGAACGAGAGAGGGAAACAGCACCAATGATGTCATCGACATATTAGACAAAGACTTGTGGTCGGGGCCTGGAATAGGACTGGAACAAGGAATGTTCCACATACCCCATGAAGAGACAGGCATAACTGGGGCCCATGTGGATACCTGTGGCCACCCTTCTAGCCTGAAGAAAATGAGAGGAGTTAAAACAGAAGAAGTTGTTGAGGGTAAGGCCGAGCTCGGCCAAGCGGAGGAGGATTGTGGTGGGTGGGGATGGCTCAGGTCTTTGTTCTAGGAAGAAGTGGACAGGCCTAAGACCATCCTGGTGGGGAACGGACGTGTAAAGGGATTGCATGTCCATGGTAAAGAGGCGGCGGCTGGAACCTGAAATTGGAAATTCTGAAACTGGCGTAAAGTGTCAGAGGAATCATGGATGCATGTGGGCAGGAACTGGAGTAAGGGAGAAAACACTGATTCAAGATAGGAAGAGATGAGTTCTGTGGGGCAGGAGCAGGCTGAAACAATGGGTCTGCTCAGACAGTCCTGTTTGTAGATTTTTGGAAGGAGGTAGAAGGGAACTGTGCGGGGCTGAGAGACTATCAACTTGGAGGCAGTTGGGGGGGTGGGGGGGGGGGGGGGTGGGGCGTGTGGTGGCGGTGGGAGAAGGTCACCAGATGAGGTCAGTTACCATAGTTGATACAATGGCCTAACGTCCCATGTGGGGTCATGGTCCAGGGGAAGATAGGAAGAGATATCCGAGAGCTGGCGCTCAGCCTCAGCAATGTAGAGGTCAGCATGCCAGACTACAACAACACCACCCTTATTGGCAGGCTTAATGACAAAGTCAGGGTTAGGTCTAAGCACACAGTGACCTTGGTTTGGAGGGAGATGAGTTGGATTGGGTGAGGGAGGCAGAGAAATTGAGGCAACCAATGTCATGTCGACAGTTCTCTATGAACAGATCGAGTGCAGGTAAAAGGCCAGAGGGGGAGAGAGAGCGTTGGAACTGGGTGAAGGGGTCTGTGGGATGGAGGAAGATGACGGAAGAAGAGTTCGACGTCATGTTGTGCCCAAAATTCATTAACGTGGGGATGCTGGGAGATAAAGTTGAGGCTTTTACCAAGTATAGAATGTTCAGCATCAGAGCGCAGAAGGTTAGGAGGGATGGTGAATACCTGACAGGAAGTGGGATTGGGGGAGGGTATGGAGTCAGAGGGAAGGGGAGAAGAGGAAGGTTCCAGGGGGCCATGGGTATTTTTGAGTTGTTGCATCTTGTGGGCCTTGATGCCTGAAAGGAAAAGAAAAAGCTTCTTGTTAGCACGACGAATGAGCCGGAAGATGACGTGGAACTGTGGAGTGGTGCAACATTCAGTGCACATTTCTAAATGTCAAGGAAGAAGTATCAAAAAGTTAAAAAATACGTGCATGCAGTATTGGCTTTTTAGGTGTTTTTTCAGCACATAGTGAAACCAAACAAAAACTGTTTAAAGACTTCTCTGAATATTTAGGGCAGAAAACTCACATCAAATTGTAAATCTTCACATGTCAGAATTTAACAGTATGGTGCCATTAAATGCTCATCTGGAAATGAGCCAGCAGCTTTAAACTTTAGAATGACAAATTAGTCTTTGCTGTTTGATTAAATGCACCCCGAATCCCAGGGCTGCACAGTAATCGAAGGCCAGATATTTGGAGTATCAGATGTCAGACAGTTCTCTGGCAGAAGTTGCAACGTGCTTAGCACTGAACCATTTGCAGTTACGACTCTCAGTAACTTGGATGAAATTATTCAGATTTATCATCTTAATTATGAGGAAACATTCTCTTGAGCTATACAAATGATGTGACTTTATTACAGTATAAATAAACAATAGGATTGGTTGCGGGGAAAACGGAATGAGCAGCCATAACAGATTCAAAGTTGGAATTATTTTTGCGGCAGTTGATCGAGAAGCAAAGAAAATAAGGCCATTAGATATAATAGCAGAATGAGACCATTCAGCCCATCGAGTCTGCTCATGGCTGATATGTTTCTCAACCCCATTCTCTTGCCTTCTCTTGCCCATAATCCTTGGTTCTCTTACTAATCAAGAATCTATTTTTCTCTGCCTTAAATACACTCAATGACTTGGCCTCTACAGCATTCTGTGTCAATGAGTTCCACAGATTAATCATCCTCTGGCTGAAGAAATTCCTCCTCATCTCAGTTCTAAAGAGTCATCCCTTCACCCTGAGTCTCTCCTACGAGTGGAAACATCTTCTCCACGTCCACTCTATCTAGTCCTCTCGGTATGCTGTCAGTTTCAATGACATTTCCCCTCATCCTTCTAAACTCCACTGAGTACCGACCTAGAGTCCTCAACCACTCCTCATAGAACAAGCTCTTCATCCCTGGTTAGAGATAGTAGGAACTGCAGATGCTGGAGAATCCGAGACAACAAGGTGCAGGGCTGGATGAACACAGCAGGCCAAGCAGCATCATAGGAGCAGAGAGGCTGACGTTTCGGGCCTAGACCCTTCATCAGAAAAGGGGGAGGGGAAGGGGGTTTTGAAATAAATAGGGAGAGAGTGGGAGGCGGATAGAAGAGGGATAGAGGAGAGGATAGGTGGAGAGGAAACAAACAGGTCGAAGAGGCGGGGATGGAGCCAGTAAAGGTGAGTGTAGGTAGGGAGTTAGGAAGGGGATAGGTCAGTCCAGGGAGGACGGACAGGTCAAGGGGGCGGGATGAGGTTGGTCGGTAGGAGATGGAGGTGCGGCTTGAGGTGGGAGGAGGGGATAGGTGGGAGGAAGAACAGGTTAGGGAGGCAGGGACGAGCTGGACTGGTTTTGGGATGCGGTAGGGGGAGGGGAGATTTTGAAACTTGTGAAATCCACATTGATACCATTGGGCTGCAGGGTTCCCAAGCGGAATATCAGTTGCTGTTCCTGCAACCTTCGGGTGGCATCGTTGTGGCACTGCAGGAGGCCCAGGATGGACATGTCGTCTGAGGAATGGGAGGGGGAGTTGAAATGGTTCGCGACTGGGAGGTGCAGTTGTTTATTGCGAACCGAGCGTAGGTGTTCTGCAAAGCGGTCCCCGAGTCTCCGCTTGGTTTCCCCGATGTAGAGGAAGCCACACCGGGTACAGCGGATGCAGTATACCACATTGGCAGATGTGCAGGTGAACATCTGCTTGATGTGGAAAGTCTTCTTGGGGCCTGGGATGGGGGTGAGGGAGGAGGTATGGGGGCAGGTGTAGCACTTCCTGCAGTTGCAGGGAAAAGTGCCGGGTGTGGTGGAGCTGGAGGGGAGTGTGGAGCGGACAAGGGAGTCACGGAGAGAGTTGTCACTCTGGAAAGCAGATAAGGGTGGGGAGGGAAAGATGTCTTTGGTGGTGGGGTCGGATTGCAGATGGCGGAAGTGTCGGAGGATGATGCGTTGGATCCGGAGGTTGGTGGGGTGGTACGTGAGGACGAGGGGGATTCTTTTTTGGTTCTTATTGCGTGGACGGGGTGTGAGGGATGAGGTGCGGGAGATGTGGGAGACACGGTTGAGGGCGTTCTCAACCACCGAGGAGGGGAAGTTACGGTCCTTGAAAAACGAGGACAACTGAGATGTACGGGAGTGGAATGCCTCATCCTGGGAGCAGATGCGGCGGAGGCGAAGGAATTGGGAATAGGGGATAGCATTTTTGCAGGAAGGTGGGTGGGAGGAGGAGTATTCTAGGTAGCTGTGGGAGTCGGTGGGCTTGAAATGAATATCGGTTTCTAGGTGGTTGCCCGATATGGAGACAGAGAGGTCCAGGAAGGGGAGAGAGGTGTTCGAGATGGTCCAGGTAAACTTAAGGTTGGGGTGGAAGGTGTTAGTGAAGTGTATGAACTGTTCCCTGGTCCCTGGGATCATTCTTGTAAACCTCCTCTGGGCCCCCTTCAACACCAGTCGAGATTTCTGATCCAAGATGAAAAGAGGAACCAAGAACGAACAGTAATGTGACATGATTAAGAAGTTTCATACAAAAAGGTAATACTGTGCAATCATATCCTTCTCATAGTGTGGCAACCAGAACTGCACACAGGGGCCCAACGAATGTTCTATAAATTTGTGACAAGTCTTCCTTGCTGCTATATTGTAGGCCCCAGCTAATGAAGGCAAGCATCCCAAATGTCTTCTTCTCCACCCTGCCTGCCTGTGCTGACAGCTTCAGGGATCTTTGGATTTATACACCAGGGTCCTCAGTACTCCCCAGGGATCTATCATTCACTGTGTATATCCTTCCCTTATTAGACCTCTCAAAATGCACCACCTCAAATTTGTCGGGATTAAATTCCATCTGCCATTGCTCTGCCACTTTGCTGCTGATCAATATCAGACTGTAGCCTGAGACCATCCACCTCACTATCAACAATACCCTCAATTTTCATGACATCTACAAGCTTATTAATTATACCTTCCACATTCACATTGTAAGGTCGGGCAAAAATCCCTATCAGTTTATGGACATACCCTGGATTTAAAACCCTTTGAAGGCAGAAGTTGTAGAAATTACACTGGATTAAATTCACTGCACATTTGAGACTCTAGAAACCATGGGCTGCAACTGAGCCAGGAAAAGGCTGACTGGGACAGACTGGGTAATATGCAAGCCCAGGGGCAGATGTCTGGAACAGGGGTTAGCTTGCAGAAACTAAAGACAGACCCCCATTCATGCCCGAGCTTAAACATGGAAGCCAGACTGCAGGAAACAAACAACTTCAGACCCTCTGGAGCCTGCAGAGGTACAAAGCCATACAATTTTACAGCCAGCGCTCTAGCACGGGAATACCGAACGCTCCACACCATTGTGCTACATGCAAACCCGTCCCACCTATGGATGTAAAAAGCATTCACAACATTATTCAAACCTGAACAAATACCCATTTAAGGGAAATACTGGACATTTCAAAACCATCGAAACCATTCACCTCAATCAAAAAACCACTCACACCTACTCCAATGCTCAGGAAGCTCATTCAGGCCCGGAGAGGAGGAACAGTAGCTCGACAGATTTGGCAGGAGATAAGGGTGGCCTGCAGTTGGGTATGACTGGAGACCCCGAGCCCAGCACAGCAGAGAAGGAAAGAGAAAGAGAGTGAGGAAGGTGTGAGACACCAGCATCGCGCCCCGATTCCAACACGGTGTGTGCTCTGAGGAAGGTTCGAGTGTCCGAGAGAGAAGCAGGCCCCGCTCGCGAAGGAAAGCAGCCCTCGCAACCACCGAACACCAGCAACCAACTACGGGCCTCTTACTCGACGCCCTGAATTAACCGGAGGTATCCAGCGACACAAGACACTGACTGGGGCAACACCAGCAACATCCAAGACAACAACCTGCTTGCAAGGACCACCAGAAAAGAAAGAAAACCCAAGCTACTCACTGGTCTGGTCCCACGCGCCTAACCACATCAGCGGACACCACTAGACTGGCTGTTACCGGTACTTGCGGCCCGTCGCAGAGTCCCGGCTACGGCAAGAGACTGCAGACAAGAGCCGGTCAAAGATAGTAGGAACTGCAGATGCTGGAGAATCTGAGATAACAAGGTGTAGAGCTGGATGAACACAGCAGGCCAAGCAGCATCAGAGGAGCAGGAAGGCTGACGTTTCGGGCCTAGACCCTTCTTCAGATCCCTTTTTGTACATGTTCTCCATTTAAATAATATTTGGATCTTCAGTTCTTCCTTGCAAAATGTATAACCTCACACTTCCCTACATTATATTCCATCTGCCAATTTTTTGTCCACTCTTAATCTGCTTAAACTGTCTTTATCTATCTGCAAGCTCTTTATGTCATCTGCAAACTTGACTATTGTACATCCATTTTCCTCATCAAAGTCATCAATATTTATTATAAATAACAGTGACCCCAGCATTGATCCCTGTAGCATTCCACTATTTAACAGTTACCATCCTGAAAATGCCCCCTAACATTCCAACTCTCTGTGTTCTAATAGAACGTAAGAACATAAGAAGTAGGAGCAGGAGTAGGCCATCTGGTTCCTCGAATCTGCCCCGCCATTTAATAAGATCATGGCTGATCTTTTTGAGACTCAGCTCCACTTACCCGCCCGCACACCATAACCGTTAATTCCTTTACTGTTCAAAAATTTATCTAGCCATGCCTTAAAAACATTCAGCGAGGTAGCTTCAACCGCTTAGTTAGCCAGTCCTCTATCCATGCTAATGTACTACCTCCCACACCTTAGGGTTTTATCTTTATTGAAGCATAATTATCAAACACCTTCAGAAAGTCCAACAAATTACATCCACTGTTTCCCCTTTGTACAAAAACTAAGTGCTGGAAAAGCTCAGCAGGTCTGGCAGCTTCTGTGAAGAAAAAAACAGAGTTAAAATTTTGGGTCCGGTGACCCTTCCTCAAAACTGGACCCAAAACGTTAACTCTGTTTTGTTTCTTCACAGATGCTGCCAGACCTGCTGAGATTTTCCAACAACTTGCATTTTTGTTCCTGATTTACAGCATCCACAGTTCTTTCGGTTCCCCTTTGCACATCCTGCTTGTTAATTCCTGAAAGAATTCTAGTACAGTTGCCTGGTATAATTTCCTCTTCATGAAGCTATGCTGACTCTGCTTAATCAAATCATGTATTTCTAAATGCTCTGCTATCACATCTTTTATCATGGACTCTGGCATTTTACCAATAACAGATATTAAGCTAACTGGTCTATGGTTACCCTTTTTTTTGGTCTCCCCATTATAAATGAAATAATTCCACAGATGTTGGCATATTGGGTCAGTGATTAGCACTGCTGCCTCACAGTGCCAGGGACCCGGGTTCGATTCCACCCTCGGGAGACTCTCTGTGTGGAGTTTGCACATTCTCCCCGTGTCTACGTGGATTTCCTATGGGTGCTCCGGTTTCCTCCCACAGTCCAAAGATGTGCAGGGTAGGTGGATTGACCATGCTAAATTGCCCATAGTGTCCAGGGATGTGCAGGCTTGGTGGAATACTCATGGGAAATACACAGCTAAAAGGATAGGCTTGGGTGGGGTGGGTCTGGGTGGGATGCTCTTCAGAGGGTTGGTGTGGACCAGATGGGCTAAATGGCCTGCTTCCACATTGTTTTAGGTCAGTATTCCATCATAAAGTCATTCTTTATTCACATATCTCCTTGACGCTGATCCAGCTCCCTCAGAGCCAGCTCTCATACTGAACAAGTTGTCTGATACTCCTGTTCTTCTCTGTCAGCCAAGGCTCCCTGATTGGACCAGATTAAGATCCCCAATCCCCAGGGAATACATATTCCATGAGCTCCACCTGGCTGACCTCATTACAATCATTACACCATGCTACCTCCGATGGTAACAGTATGGCACTGGGCAAGTATCACACTCAGTTGTGCTCCCACATGAGGCATAACACAGCCTTGCCTTAGGGTCTAGGCCTGAAACGTCAGCTTTCCTGCTCCTCTGATGCTGCTTGGCCTGTTGTGTTCATCCAGCTCTACACCTTGTTATCTAAGAGCCAGTCAAAATCGCGTTTTCACACCAGAGGTGAGTCTAAGGTCATCAAGACCTTCAAACCCAGCTTGGCTAGTCTTAGCTAGAGGAAGGTGGGGTTCAGGGCTAATGGTGTAGAACACATCTCAGAAGGGAAGTGGAATAGGATTTGGGGTCAGCAGGTAATCTCTCTCTCCCTCTCTCCTGTTAGCATAAATATCAGCCACGCACTGTATCTATTTACCCATTGTATCAAGTCTTGGCTACAAGGCTTAACTGGGGGTCAGTTTAACTGGGAGACAGGTCTCAGTCAGAGATAGGCAGGTTTTTGATATTCATTTTTTTGTTTTCTGTAAATATATTAACTTTGCTTGTTTGTTCAATAAAATCAGAGTTTTCTTTGCTTCTGAAACATCTGCCTCCAGTGATTTTCCACTACTCCACATTCCACACATAAGCCCAGTGTCAGAACGAGGGAGCAGGTGAACAGTGAACCAGGCAGCACTCCCTACAACATCCAAGTTGTTAATGTAAATAACAGCAAGGGTCCCTGTGGTACGCTGCTGATCACAGGCTTCCAATGACAAAAACAATCCTTCCATATCACTCTTTGTCTCCGATTTGCAAACCAATTTTGGACAAGTTTACAAACTTGCCTAGAATCCCATGGGCTCTTACTTCTTGAAACAACCTTCCACATAGGACCTTGTGGGGCCTTAATGAAGTCTACGTAAACCACATCAAGTGCACTACCCTCAATATATTAAGCCTGAGCAAAATTAGTCAGACAGGATCTCTCTCTAACAAATCTGTGCTGAATATCCCTAATAATCCCTACCTTTCCAAGTATCGATTAATCCTGTTCATCAGAATTTTTTTCCAATAAATTTCCTACTTCAGAAGTCAGATGAACTGGTCTGTTATTATTTGGCCTATCCCTGCTGCCATTCTTGAACAAAGGAACCACATTAGCTATCCTCCTGTCATCTGGCACTTTGTTTGTTGTCAGCGAATTATTAAATCAGGACTCCGGCAATCTCCTCCTTTGCCTCCCATTGCAGCCTGAGATACATCTCATCAGGCCCTGGAGATTTATAAACATCAATGCCCACTAAAACATCTAGTACCTTGTCCTTATTAATCTTAGCATATTCTAAAACCTCATCATCCCAACTGGTATCCCTGACCACAATGTCACAATGTCATTCTCCATGAATATTGATTTAAGACCTCACCCACATCCATTGGCTCCATGCACAGATTGCCCTTTTGGCCTCTAATATTCACTCCAGTGATCACTCTTTCCCTGGTAATCCTCTTACTTTTAATATATTCATAAAAAGCCTTGGGGTTTTCCTTGAACCCATCTTCCAAAGATATTTTATGCCCTTCTTTGCCCTCATAATTTCTTTTTTAAGCAGCCTTCTGTATTCTCCATATTTTTCAAAGAGATACCCTTGTTTTTAAAGCACTTTACCTGACACATGTTTGCTTCTTTTTCTTCATCAAACTCTTGATATCCCTGGACTTGCTGCCCTTGCCCTTTACTCTTGGAAGAACATGCTAGCCCTGAATTTTCACTAAACTACTTTTAAAAGACTCCCATCTTCCAAATGTGGACTTGTCTCCAAGTAGCTGCTCCCAGTCTATATTTGGTAGGTCTTGTCTAATGACATTGAACTTGACATTCCCCAAATTTAGGCATAACTTCTACACTATCCTTATTCATTTCCATAATGATGTTGAAACATAAAATTATGGTCACTATCCCCAAAACTTGCCCACTGAAACTTCAATCACTTGACTGGCCTCTTTCTTTTTATTCATTTGTGCGATGCTGATGTCGCTGGCCAGCCAGCATTTATTGCCCATCTCAAGTTGTCCTTAAGAAGGTGATGGTGAGCTGCCTTCTTCAACTGTTGCAGTCCACCTGCTGTGGGTTGACCCATAATGCCCTTAAGGAGGGAATTCCAGGATTTTGACCCAGCGGTAATGAAGGAACGCCGATGTATTTCCAAGTCAATATGGTGAGTGGATTGGAGGGGGACATGAAAGTGTGATGTTCCCATGTACCTGCTACCTTTGTCCTTCTGGATGGAAGTGGTCATGGGTTTGGAATGTGCTGAGGATCTTTGGTGAATTTCTGCAGTACATCTTGTCAATTGTACACACTGCTGTTACTGAGCATTGGTGGTGGAGGGAGTGGATGCTTGTGGATGTAGTGCCAATCAAGTGGGCTGCTTTGTCCTGGATGGTGTCAAGCTTCTTGAGTGTTGTTGGAGCTGCACTCATCCAGCCAAGTGGGAAGTATTCCATCACACTCCTGATTTGTGTCTTGTAGATGGTGGACAGGCTTTGGGAAGTCAGGAGATGAGTTACTCCCCACAGTATTCCTAGCCTCTGACCTGCTCTTGTAGCCACTGTGTTTATTAAGTTAGTCCAGTTGAGTTTCTGATTAATGGTAATCCCCAGGATGTTGATAGCGGAGGATTCTGTGATGATTAAACCATTGAATGACTAAGGGCAGTGGTTAGATTGTATCTTATTGGTGGTCATTGCCTAGCATTGGTGTGGCATGAATGTTACTTGCCACCTATCAGCCCAAGTCTGGATATTGTCCAGTTCTTGTTGCATTTGAACATGGCCTGCTTCAGTAACTGACGAGTCACAAATGATGCCGAACATGGTGCAATCATTGGCGAATATTCCCACTTCTGACCTTATGATGGAAAGAAGGTCATTGATGAAGCAACTGAAGATGATTGAACCTAGGACACTATTCTGAGGAACTTCTGCAGAGATGTCTTGGAGCTGAGATGACTGAACACCAAAAGCCACAAACACCTTCCTATGTGCCAGGTATGACTCCAACCTGGGGTGAGTTTGCCCCAGTACCCATTGATTCAAATTTTGCTAGAGTTCCTTGATGCTACACTCAGTTGAATGCAGCCTTGATGTCAAGGGCTGTCACTCTCACCTCACCTCTGGAGTGCAGCTATTTAATCTTGTTTGAACCAAGTCAGTAAGGAGGTCAGGA